ATTAATATTTAATTTAATGATGCAACATTTTTTTGTTTCCACATTCTCTTTAGGGAAGGAAAGTCGTTTTCAAATTATCTTCATTAAGCTTGGCATCCTTAATTTTAACTTCGTTTAATGTAATTTGAAAGGAATTATTAATTTCAATTTTTTCAGATATTATATAATACAGGTATTATATAATTATTTATTCGCAATTTTGCTAATGTTAGCATTATAATAAATTCTTTTTTGTGTGCTAAAGAAAGATCCTTTTTCTCATTTATGCATATACAATTTAATTAATTGATTAATTAAACAAAGAGTTGCTCATTGGAGCTATCCTTTCTAAAATATCCTGTATTATATTACATTGCATATTACATAGTATCATATTAACGTTGTTAATATCAATTTAATTATTAATAATTTTATATAAGTTTATAATAATTTTATATTTTGTAATATTTTATATTTAATATACCTAAGTAATCGTATTAATTTATTAACATATTAATATTAATTTATTATATTATTATATTAATGATACATATATTATATTACACGTTTACATAACGTTAACTTTCCCTAAATATTATATCATCACGTTTTTATGAAAGTCGAGAGAAAATGCGCGATGTCTGTTCAATAGTGTATATTATACACAAATAGGTATCGGTGTTCGCAGGATTTTTTTCAAGAGGAAAGCATGATTAAAGTTCTTTATTCCTATTTTTTGTTTTTTCTTAATTTTTTTTTCTTATTATATATGCAAAAATAATTTTTTTAATTATTTCAAGGGTGGACAAATGCTTCCCTGTTTTTGCCCCTTCTGCGAATTGCCCCATGCAAATACAGGGTGTCCAGCAGACTCAATGAAAAATAAAATAAAATTTTTATATTAAATTTTTTTATTTCAATGAAAAAAATTCTCCGACTATTTCAGATTTTCCAAGACCAGAAATTAATTTTTTCCTTGACTTTTTAGTATTATTTTTTCCAAATATATAATTTGTATATATCTATATGCTAAATCAATTAAATGTTAAATCATGAAATCCTTGAAATATTTTTGTCACCAATGAAAAGATTCGGTAGTTAAAAAAACAAAAATTTAAATCAATTATACAATCTGTATTATGTATGATAATCGAAACAAACACGTCACTATAAACCTATTTAAATAATCACCAATTAAATTTTTTAGTTTTGTCTCTATCAAACGCATTGAAATAAAATAACACGACGATGAAAATATAAATGAACGAACACGCTGTAGATGAATCGATTTTTAACAACACGTTTATATTTATTTAATACAAAATTTCAAATTATTGAGACAGAATGTAGAATAATGTGAAGAAATCTCGCGACGTTTCCCTGACAATTCCAGATTTCTAAAATTCCCTAACAATGTCCGCATAGACACCCTAGCTGAAATAGGAAAGCCACGACTATTCGACTCGGTCGACCAAAATCTCAAAAGATGAAGTAGTGTCCTCGAAACGTCCTCTCGTCTTGCTCACCTGGAAGATCTTCGGTGGTCACCGGGATGGTAAGCGAGGTGTACCTAGATCAAGTACGAGTGCATTCTCATTGAAATTCTCCGGGTTCCGAGCCGGAAAAAGAAGGAGAAGGGCGAGAGCACCGCGCACAATTTCCGCCCATCTCGGTCCGAGGGATGCGCCCTAGCCAACCCCGTCGTAATCCCGCGACTGAAAGCCTCGTTTAATATTTATGATTTATTTCGGTTTAATTCGACGCGCAAACTAGAGGCGAGGTATTTGTATTCCAGCGACTGGCTCCGGCCGGCCGTCAGAGCGATCTTAATCCCTCGAGACTCGGATCCTGCGGCTCCAAGTTTGGAGTTTCGCTCCGTGAAGAAAATGTTCTCCGAGTTCTATTCCGAGAATATTACGCTCTATTCTATTCTATTCTGAATGCGCCGCACAAGCTCTCGACGCTTCGCGATGAGTTGCGTCGCTCCTGATTTTATATGCATATTATGTAAGGACTTTGTCAAATAATCAGAAGGATTATTAACGTGAAATCTACTTTAAAATAATCTACTTTAGAATAAAATGTCATTATCTATATATGTATAATTGGTTAAAATCTCTTCTTTGCAATTAAGATGCTGTTTCTCAAAGATTATTTTATACAGTTGAAAAATTTCTGTTAAGTTTAACAGACATCACATCTTCAGAAATTTTGGTGATAATTTAACATAATATGGATATGTTAAATAGAGACACAAATACAGTGTTAATATTTTAACACCAAATAAATGCAAAATTCCAAGTAATTTAAATTAAATTTCGTGTAAAATTAACATAATTTTAAATTTAATCATCCCCACTTATATTATAAAATCAAAAATTAACATTTTTCCCGTAAATTTGAAGAGATAAATCTTGTCACTAATAAAACAAAAAATATTTATTGTGTAAAATTAAAAATATAGATGCACATTGTGTTATTTCTACATCCTTTTTCAGTTGTTCTACTAATTTAACATTCAAGATCAATTAACACTACAGCAATACGTTAAATTAACACGTGTCAAATGTTTGACACAACAATTGTCACGGGGACCGTTTTAAACAAGAAATCACAAATTTCCCTACTATACGTTCACGTTTTGACAAGCAGAACAGAAACATGAATTTCCGCTGACAGAATCGCGCGTATATTATATTTCCCTGAAATTCTTCGGGATGGGATTGATCGTCTTCGTTACCAACGAGACACGGATGTTGGATGACGTCGCGAAAGGGTTAATCAGGGACGGAAGATCCGCTAATACAGAGCGATACAAGTTTCGAGAAGGCGGCGACGGTTTTACAAGCGCGCGGCGGAATCGTCGGCGTTATTGTCCCGGCAACAATGCGCGATAGAAATGCCTTCACCCTCGCATCCGGCGATCCTAGGGGAGAGAATTACCCTCTGCATTAACTCGCGTAATTGAGATTTATTAATCCGGCGGCCGGTTAGTGGCCGCGCACCAGCCGTATCCTCTGTTCTCCACCCCGACCGAGGTTGGGTCGTAACTTTATTATTATTATTATAGCGAAGTACACGCGCGTATCTTCGCCCGATAGGATTTTTCGGGGGAGAAAGGGGCGTTTATCACCTTAAATGAATAAATGATACGGAAATGTATTTACTTTGAAAAATATAGAGATAAAGGTATATACCCATACAGCACAACAAGATTGCAGCAGCATTGTGGCAACATTTTATTGCAATATTATAATATTGCTCTATTGGCCGATTTAAAATATCATATATTATTATTAGTATTAATATTGAGAGCCGACAAAAATATTTCTTATCTGATTATAATATTGCATAAACATTGTGAAATGTTGCAGTAATCTTGCTGCAAAGTTGCAGCAACGATAAAATGTCCGCTTTCAGAAATATTGTTCCATAACATTATATGTAATATTACTATTGGATTATTGGAAATATGCCAAATACACGATCGGACTGAATGTTCTGTACCTATAATATTTTTTGCGTGAATTTTATTTTCATAATATTTCTGAAATTTAAACTATATTGTAAATTCATGCCTATATATTTCTGCAATATTGCTATGCAATGTACAATATTGCAATGTTGTTGCAAACTTGTGTGCTGTATAAATATAAACTATAATAAGGTATACCTTCGACACCCATCGCATCTCTCTTTGTATCTTTCTTTTAAATATTTAGATATCTTTCCCGAAGAGTAAATTTCAGTCGCTCACGAAATCACGACAGGATAAGATATAAAAAATATTATTATACATGTTCGCGAAATAATATGGTTACCAAAGGTTAAGTTACGATAGGGCGTAAGCCTGCAGGGTGGTTTCATATTGGTAGATTAAGCGTTCAGCCTCCACCTTGGAGTCTCCATCTCTCTCTCTCTCTCTCTCTCTCTCTCTCTCTCTCTCTCTCTCTCTCTCTCTCGTTCTCTCCGTTTGCGTCTTAAGCCGGACGGCCCTAAGTTATAGGCGCGACTTTCATTAAACGGCCCGATGACGGATCGCTTTGTCTCGTTTGTATTAAGGGCGGCGCTGAAACCGGATTTAGGCGACGATATTACAACTTTGAGAGGCGCGATTGTTCTTAATTCCAGACTTCCCGGCTACGTGACCACGATTCATTTGCGCGTTATCGCCACGACGACGGTATAGCTTACGATTATAGCCGACCTTAAGGAAGCATTAAAAAATTTTGCTGCACTTCCGCAATCTTTATAATACCAAGAAAGATTTTGTTCGGTAAAATTTTATGAAACAGTTTTTAAAAAATCAAATCCATTATAATATAGATTTAGTGTAATATTATAAGTTTTTAATTTTAAAGTTTTTCTATTATAATTATTTAATCTGTTATTTAGATTCTACTAAAAAATTAGAAGAAATATTGTGATGAAAAATTAAAAAATTTCGCTGCACTTCCGCAATCTTTATAATACCAAGAAAGATTTTGTTCGGTAAAATTTTATAAAACAGTTTTTAAAAAATCAAATACAAATCCATTATAATATAGATTTAGTGTAATATATAAGTTTTTAATTTTAAAGTTTTTCTATTATAATTATTTAATCTGTTATTTAGATTCTACTAAAAAATTAGAAGAAATATTGTGATAGTATATAAATTCAAAAAAGATGCTTATATAGATTTAATATCATATGTATAAGTTTTTAATTTTAATGTTATATAACATATATAATTATTTAATCTGTCATATAGATTTTACTGAAAAAAAATTATATTCAGTGTAGTGATAAAAGAATTCCAAGACAAATTTTATTCCTCAAACTTTCGATTTTTTTTTTTATAATATATTCAACCCCTATCGTCTGTTTTGAAAGAGATGCACTGGGCATACTCGAATGTCACTTCATTATTTTGTCAGATGCTAGTCGAGTCACTTCTCGAGGAAACAGATGGCACATTGCACGCCGGATGAGAAATGTCCATCGATGTATAATGCAATTTTGTTTCTTGCTTCTTGCAGAGGGATGGCGAGACTCGGTGTTGGGGGCCCCGCGTCGTTTATTGGTGACTCTCGGCAGTCTCTCCAGGGACAGCTCGCCATGTCCTGCCGCGGTAAGTCCACCACTTTGTTCATCCTTTATCAACAAAGCCCTACTAAAGCGATGATTCTTATTTGCCGTGCCGCGACAAAGCGAGATACGCCTAAAAGGGATGCAGTCGATAAGATCTGGTCCTCTTGTCGTTTTACGACAAAATGCGAACTAAACTACACTGTAAAAAAATTTTGTAAAATTACATTAAAAATATGTAAAATTACATAAATAATAAATGTAAAATTACACGATAAATAATGAAAAGGTAAACATTTTGATTATTTATCGTGTAATTTTACACTTATTATTTATGTAATTTTACATACTTTTGTGTAATATATTACATATTTTTTTACAGTGTATCGTGATCCTTATGAAAACGAAAGGGAAAAAAGCACGACGTAAACGTGTTTAGAATTTAAAAAAAAAAACATAATTTGACGAACGCTCCAATATTCTTCGTTGTTTGAATGAACTGCCTTTGATTTATTTTAGTGTTTGCAAAATTCTAGAATGAATAATTAATGATTTTGATTAAAATTCGACGAGATCAATAATGTTTTAAAATGAATATTTCTTTCTCTCATTGGAAGCATACAAATCTTTTATCTTTATCACCCTTTATGTACAGTCGTATACCTTTTCTTTCAGGGAATTTTTCTTCCTGAAGTATAATATGTAAAGTTTAAATTTACATACTTTCTGGTCTATCTTTTTTCATTTTTTAAATTAGAAGTAAACGAGGTCGGTAGAAATTACATCTTATTCTCGCGAAATTTGCGAAACGTTCGTGCGCAAAGTTATGAAATCGCGTCGCTCTACGAATTTCTGCAACGTCAGAGCTAAATCGCACGTCGTATGTGGAATGAATAAATTTTCATTAGCATTTCAACACACAATTGCTGCCGCGAATTGTATCGCCGAAATTTATAGCCTCGAGTCGTCCCACGCATCTGCGTGGGCGAGCAAATAAATCGTAAAGCTCTGCAGTAATACTACTGCGTCTATCAAATGCCACCGACATTTTCTCATGACGTCAATACATCAGTTCTTTTATTTCGCATTTATAAATTATTTAAACAAATAAATAGAACAGCGAGTAAAAAGTATATCAAATATCTTTCTAAACGAATTAATATTACATTACAAAGTGCGATGTAATGAACAAATGTTCGATTGTAAGATGAGAAGATGATGTGAAAAATAAAGCCTTGGAGCAAAATTAAAAGACAAATTCAAAAATCGCTTTTCGTTTCGAGGGGTAGTTGTTCGATCGCTTCACCCGATCTCGCTCCTCGAGATGGCATTCGCGAACGAACCTCTACGTGCAATAAATTCTCCCCTTCTCGCGCTCTTTTCACCCCCACTAACGAGATCGTATCTGACGGCGCCGTTCCGCGTGTCATTTACATACTGTTCATCCCCGAGGCGATGTATGCGGGACGGAGGCTTGTATCATTCGGCCTCGGTTTGATTTACATTTCCAACACGGGGCCGAGAATCAGCCGTGCCCTCGAGGTGACGGAATGCCGGGGATTTGGCGGAGATGACGGAAAGAAACGCTCACCTGCAGATCGCCCGCAGGAAAAGAGATGCAAATTTACTTAGAAAATGTATCACACTTTTTCGCTCGACAGCATATTTCAACAATTTCGCCCTTTTTTCATATATATTTTCACATTATCCGCGATATTATTTCACTGTGCGAATATGCGTAAGTGCACTTAAAACATACAAATACTTCGGAATTATTAATAATGACATGTAATATAATCTTGGACTTTTTCGATCTTTTCATATTTTTTTATATATTTGAAAAGTTCAATATATTTCTAGATTTCTCCTCGACAAATAATAATGTTAATAAATACACAATTTTACGATGTAACTTTGAAAATAAATACATCAACATTGAAATAATTTATTATATAATATTCGTTTCATGTGCCAATGTTGTTTATCGAGCTTTCACATCTTTGGAATACGCGAGAGTCATGAAACCATGTTAAATAATTAAGAGAAGAAAGAGAACTCGGTCGGAGTTACTTGAAAGATATTACGCGAACTTTGAGCCGCACTAATGCTCTACGTCAGACAAAGAAGAATAAGTATGTCGGTGCACACAAGTTGGGATAATGAATTCCATTAGGGCAAGAACTCACGTCCGAAAACGCGATCGCCGTTAGCCGGCAGAAAAGGCAGGGAAAATGTCGAGGGAAAATTGTGCGAGTCGGGAGAATCGCCTGCGGAAGGTTCATCGGCGAACTTTTCTCCTGTGCGGCTTCCCTTAAGGGAAACTTTAGCCGGAAAATCCCACGCAAACATGTGTATGAACGTGAAAGATACAGATTATACTATATACACCTTAGCCATCTATGCATAAATTTAAAAAAATTTACCCACCACTCTGTCGCTTAAAATATTATTTACTTTTATTATTTACGAAAATGTTTTTGCAAAGTAAAATATTGTTCATTTTAATCTAGTGTTATATCTTTTTGTAAATTTCTGTTAAACAAAAACTTTCTGTTGCAAACATTTTGTTATTTTAGTAAATAACGAGAAAGTTCTCCGGACTTTCTTCAAAAATATATATTTATTTCTAACTAAAGTAAAATGTTAAATAAATAAAAAATAAAATTTATACTAAAAAAATATATAAAAAAATATTTGCAAGATAATTATATAATAATGTAATAAGTATAATTATATAATAATTATACTTTTGTGAAATATAATCTACTAAAACATTCAATTCAATGCAAAAGCATTTAATTTCTCACGAGAATATTACTTTAATTTGAAGTATTTGATAATAGTTGAAAATATTAATTTTAATTTTTCTATGACATTCTAATAAGTTATCATTATTCGCGGATCGCAGGTGCCGTCCAAAGAAATTGTGGTAAACCCTGCCACCACCTATGGATCATTCAATAAGGTTGAGTATATCTCGCAACTTTTCACCTTTCCTAAACGCGGGATACTGCCACTTTGATATTAAACTTGCACTCACATATATAACGCGCGAACACTTTATCGCGCCCACGTGGCCACATACTACGTGTTTCCCATAGCTGTTATTTTTATCATGCTATTTATGACAGTCGAGTAAGCTATTTGTCTGAAAAAATTGCACTGAAAATACATTGCGTTACAAATAACACGGTCAATTTAATCGTTAACTGCACCGAGAATAAAACCGATTTACACGATGCTTTTGAAACACGTTGCAGAGCTAGCGGAGAAGATAAATAATTACTCACATAAAGGGAATTAAGTAGTTTAGTTGAACACTATGAATTACACGATTACTCGTTTAATCATTATTAAAGCAAATTGCGTTAAGGAAAAGACACATGAGGAAAAAATATTTTTTAAGGAAAAATTAATTTGCAATTTGAAACGCGGTTTTTTCGAGAATACTTTAATATTTGTATTTCCTTAAAAATTTCACAGTAAAGTCTTTTAACGAAAATTCACAAGCTAAATAGTTACATGTCAGAATGCAAGTTTCTAAATTTGAATTCTAACGCGTTACATCGATCATTGCTTATTCAAGTCCAAAGAGTCTATAGTAAGTGAGATTCCAGACGCCCATAAGAAAATTACTTTCGCGAGATGAAGGCGTAGGAGAATAAGCAAGAGGGTGAAAGAGTCAAGAGGGTGGAGGTATTCGCGGCTCGTCACTTCCAATATTGGTTTTATATTGGATTTTCCTTTCTCGCACACGATGTGTCTTTGATTTCAGCTGCTCTAAAAAAAAGACAGCCCAATCTCGAATTTGCTCGCTCTTTCCGGAAGTATAAAAGAGCGCGCGCATAGGAGGGATGGGATAGAAATGAATGCGCGGCCACAGTGGGTCCTCGTTATCGATCGCCAAACCAGGTGTTACCACGCCCAGATGTCAATTAATTACGAAAAACATAAAAAAAAAACATCTCGACTGACGAACTAAATAATTCCTCGTTGACAGCTAAAACGATTAAATGTTTCATATTTATGAATAGTATCATAATTAATTAAATGAGTATGCTTTCGCACATAAAATATCGTTGTAACTAACGACTGTTTAAAGAAAATAAAAATTCGAAACTTTTTAGCTATTTGTAATGTTTCATGTTGCATAAATTGTTTATTATAAAAGATAAAAAACACACTTGATTTTTATGCAAATATTTCGCATGAGACATGAGTATTTCTATTTCAAGAGATAGAGTTAATTGACGCTTAATTACATTTCATGCGAAAAACGTTCGCATGTAAATCAGAATTCAAGATTGCTTGGCACCTTGTCAAACGTGATCGGGATCGCGATTCGTGATCACAACACACGTCGATGAAGTGGATTTAGCTAGCACTGGCGTTAAAGCGGCAAGCCGCAAGTCCACTTAAATTATTCTACCTGAATGCACCCTTAATCCCTTATATTGTATTAAACACGAGCGAACGGTTGGCCCCATTTGCCGAGTAACATCGATTCTAATTTACATGTTCGTATAGCAATTGCGAATCTTAACATTCACAATTTTTTTTATAAGCGATATAACTCCAGAGTGTATTATTTTTTCGAACATATTTTCCTATAGCGCTTATTAATCTGTGGATTAGGAGATAAAATGCAAAACGATTTTTGCGCGAACAAAAGTATCGAGAATCCCCGTTAAATTTAAATTTGCCTGTGCGATATATTTCTTAAGGATGCACCGTCATGCGGTGATTATAAATTACGCGTTATCGCGTAAGATCCGATAACGGTTAATTTATTTACGAATCGGGGTGGTGCACGCGTGAGTCACGTGCCATCTGTCATCCGCTATCCGGTCTATTATGACACGTGGAGTGCACTATCGTCCTATTATACGCGATGACTGAGTATTTCCTCGGCTCTCCTTCATTCCCGTGAGTCGGCAAATTCGCGAACCTACAATACGTAGATAGAATTAAATATTCTGGGTAATCGTCGAGATTGTTGACAGAAAAGATCGCAATAATTGATGAGTGCCATATTGGATCTCG